TAGCTTTCAAATAAATACAACCAAAGAGCCACAAATAATTTTTGAAAAGGACCCGAAACTACTTCTTGGAAAATATGAGAGTATCCAACTCATATTGTTAGTAACACTTTTCCCAGCCCCTTTCCTATTCTTCTTCTTCTTATGTCTCACAATCCTGTGAATCCTCTTATTTTGCTAAATCCCAACCCACCTCTCAAAACATCTTGACCAATATCTCCCAGAGTATGGAATTTTTTTCTTATTCATCTTTATCTGGGTGATAAATATAGTCCATCTACCTAAGTCCTTCGCTTTTTCTGTAGATCTTTTTTTCTTCCCATTGCTTTATCCAGTTGTTTTTATCAAGCAAGTCTAGGAATGGGGCATGATAGACACAAGCACTACTCAAAGGTCAGTGATTGTGGGCAGAAAACCAAGTAGGAAAAGACAACATTCTTCTTGGAAAAGAAGGAAAGACTAGGAGCATCTTCATTTTAAAACTTGCTTTATTCAGTCATATTTGTAAATAAAAAACAGCAACAAACAGATTGAAAGCCAGTTAGAGAACACAGGATGAGATTGGAAGTTCAGTCAAGCCTTCCGGAGGTGTCTGGAGTAAAAGTTTGGAGAAAAGCTGCTACTTTCGGATTGGATGATCGGAGCTAGGGGAGCAGGTCCCAGGTGCTTCCTTGTATGAATGGCATCCTATCCAGGAACTCTGTATCCCTCCAGGAGCACAGCAGGTGTTTGCTCTCCTAAAAGATTCCTCTGGCATCTGTTCTATTGCACCTGAAGTTAGCTCTATCACAAATTCCTTCTTATAGGCACAGGCGATGCCCATGCAAATATACATCTGCAGTTTTGCAGAAAGAAGAACTATAATTCCGAGCTCAACAAAAATGTCACATCCTGCTAATGCAAAAAATTTTCCATTGTCTTCAGCTCTCACAACACTAATCTGTAAATCAAACTGAGTACCTCTTTGCTGCAATCATACTTGGGATTGCTCCTCAGAAACAGATTCACTAAACACCTCACTAAAAAAATGTGGCAGGTGTTTACATGATTCATTTAAAGCTGTTTCTTGTGTTTTATTTTTATCTCTTGTGGCTTGCTTTTACCTTGAGGGGGTAGGTTTCAGGAAAGGTGAGGTTAATTTAAAATTGTGATCAGATTTGTTTAAGTCGCCGTTAGTCGATAGTCCAGCATTTCTGTGGAAGAGATATCACTGTAGGTCAATGTGTTTTTATTTCATCTGATTTAATCTGACTTTCATCTCATTCATTTCTTTTCCTTGGGTAAATATCATTGTCATTGTTGTTTCCAAACCTAGGTAGCCTCTCAAAAGTTTTCCTCATACCAACCACTTCTCTTCCTTGTTCAAGCTATTCTCCCAGTGGGAAAGGTTGTGCTAAGTGATACCCAGCCAGCATCTCAATCAAAATCCATCTGCAGACTTCCTTCTTTCTGGCACCCCTTCCTCATTATGCTCGTCATACTCAGTTCACTTCTTATCTCTGCACACTCCTACGTCACTAATAAGATGTGATCTAGTCCAAGTGCAGTGGCTCAAGCCTGTAATCCCAGCACTTTGGGAGGCAGAGGTGGGTGGATCACGAGGTCAGGAGATCGAGACCATCCTAGCTAACACAGTGAAATCCCGTCTCTACTAAAAATACATAAAAAAATTAGCCAGGCATGGTGGCGGGCGCCTGTAGTCCGAGCTACTCTGGAGGCTAGAGAACAGCATGAACCTGGGAGGCGGAGCTTGCAGTGAGCCAAGATCCGGCCACTGCACTCCAGCCTGGGCGACAGGGCCAGCCCAGACTCCATCTCAAAAAAAAAAACAAAAAACAAACAAAAAAAACCACAAAGATGTGATCTGGCATCTGTTGGCTCATTGTGCTGTTGTTGTTTTCAGTTATTTTTTAATTAAGTTCATTAACTAACTGTTTATTGGGGACCTACTGCGTGTGAGTTTCTGTTAAAAGTCTCCAGGAAATACAAACATGAATAAGACAATCTCTGTGCTCCAGATATTTTTATTTCAACCTTTTTACAGAAAGTAAAATTTTTCAAAATCTTTTAACAGCTTTATTAAGATAGAATTCCTATGCCATACAATGTACCCACTTAAAGTGTACGGTTCAATGGCTTTTATATATTCACAGAATTGTACTTCCATTATCACAATTTGAGAACATTTTCATTAGACCCCAAAGACCATTACACCTCTTAGCCATCACTTCTCAATCCCCTCCCATTCCCCTGCCGTAGGCAACCACTAATCTATTTTAAAGATTTGCCTATTCTGGGACATATTAATGGAATTTTGTATGAATGGAATTGTACAATCTGCAGTTCTTTTTGACTGGTTTCTTTCATTTAACATAGTGTTTTCAAGGTTCATCCATGTTGTAACATGTATCAGCACTGCCTGCCTCCCTGCCTTTCTGTCTGCCTGCCTTCCTTCCTTGCTGCCTTCCTTCCTTCCTTCCTTCCTTCCTTCTTTCCTTCCTTCCTTCCTGCCTGCCTGCCTGCCTTTTTAATTTTTTTTGACAGGATCTCACTCTGCGGCCCAGTTTCAAGTCATCCTCCCACCTCAACCTCCCAAGTAACTCGGACAAAAGGTGCCTGCCACAACACCTGGCTAATTTTGTTGTTGTTGTTGTTAGAGATGGACTCTTGCTTTGGTGCTCAGGCTAGTTTCAATCTCCAGGCTTCAAGCGATCCTCCCACCTAGATCTCCCAAAGTGCTGGGATTACAGGCGCAAACCACCGTGCCTGGCCCCCTTTTAAAAAAAAAAAAAAACCAAAAGACTATTTTTTTCCAGAGAAGTTTTAGGATCACTCAAAAATTGAGAGTAAAGTACAGGGATTTCCCATACATACATAGCCTCTTCCGTTATCAACATCCCCCAACAGTGTGGTACATCTGTTACAATTGAGCTTCCTTGTTTTTTTGGTTTTTTTTTTTTTTTTAACCCTTCTTATGTTATTTCACAAGGCTATTTTTCATCTATCTTTATTAGCTGTCTCCTTTGTTACCTTCACCTCTCGCACTGATGGCTTAGCCCAGTGGCCCAACATAGCTGATAAGAAGTAGACTTTCATTCCAGGCTCATTTTCCTGATTTAGTGTTGAGGGTACGGGTGGACTAAGTTTTGTTTTGTTTGTTTTGTTTTAGAGAAGTGTATTGCTTTAAAACAGGGAGAGACAGTCCCACTACTGAAAGGAGCTGGGTCTTTAATGTTAGAGAAAGGTAGGTAGGAGCCTTAGTTTTTGCCTTTGGCAAGTTTATTGACCACTGTGAGCCTCAGCCTCATCTGTTAAATGAGCTGGATAATGCCCATCCAGAGGAGTTCTTGGGAAGATTAATGCAATAAGCATGGAAAGCACCTCTCTGGAAGGTTCAAGGAAAGGGAACTGGAATTATGGGTGACAGAATTCCCCGGCTTTCCAATGCATCACTGTAGGACGAATTAGCACTCTTAGCAGGCTGGCCTCATGCCCCTCCAGAGTCTCTAGCTTGTGGGCTGGGGGCCGGATATGGACAGGATACCTGGAAGGGAACACATTTAACTTCCATGGGTGATCCTGGAAAGGCTCGGCAAATCCCCCATTCAGAGTGTGTGTGTGTGTGTGTGTGTGTGTGTGTGTGTGTGTGTGTCAGAGTCTCACTCCATCACCCAGGCTGGAACGCAGTGGCGCAATCTCGGTTCACTGCAACCTCTGCCTCCCAAGTTCAAGCGATTCTCCCATCTCAGCCCCCCGAGTAGCTGGGATTACAGGTGCCCGCCACCATGCCCGGCTAATTTTTGTATTTTTAGTAGAGACGGGGTTTCACCATGTTGACCAGGCTGGTTTCGAACTCCTGACCTCAGGTGATCCGCCCACCTTGACTTCCCAAAGTGCTGGGATTACAGGCATGAGCCACCGCACCTGGCCCATTCATTTATTTTTATTTGAACCTCTCTTCCAGGAGGCCCTCTGAGTTTAGAAGGTTTAGCGACAGGACCCTGATTCAAGTCTACTCGTTTATTTGAAAGCTGCTTGGATAAAAATAAAATAAAATAAAAAGTAAACTGGAGGATAACATAAAGGGATCCTTGCAGAGGATTCCTCCGTTCGTGAATCTCACTGAATCTCGGAGTTAGAAGACGGCTCAGAGACCTCAACTCCCTCATGGGTCAGACAAGGACAGGTCTTTCATTCGGCCCTGGATCCTCTCACAATAGCCTCGCGGGAGCTGGCCCTCAAAATGATGAAGGAATAAATGAATGGAGGGATGGAGAAATGAATCATGAAGAAAAAATGAATGAGGT